CACCCTCACTTCTATCTTGATGACTCAAGAGCTTTAAACTTTTTGCTCTTTTTACAATAAAGTGCATGGAGAACGAATGTGTCGCCACTTGGTTTTTAATATTTCCCAAGAATACAGAAATGCCCTATTCCTAAATTGGATAAGACATATCTGCTGATTAGAAGTCTTGTCTTAACAATTAAGCAGAGGTGGCAGAGCTTCCCAGAGAGTGTCATATAGATTCGGTCTTTGGTTGGTGGAAATTATGGAAGCCTTTTAAAGTCAGCTTATTTATGCAAATTTTGCACCAAATTTGGCTCCCACACAATGCTATTCAATGGGTGTTTTAAGATTCATAGGGAAGTTACCTCAGTCTCTTTGCGTTTTTATAGCACGTCTACCACAGAGGTGTGATGATAAAACACATTTTATACCTCTTCAAAATCTGCTGCAATAGGGTCATTACAAGAAAAAAAACTCAGGAATGTGCTTGGTTGTTTTTTTCAGCATTTTAGAAAACCTGCAACTACCAGTTTAGGATTTCAAGACAGATCAAAGGGAGATATTTTATTGTACATTTGAGCAGATTAAAAGAAGAAGCCAACAAATTAGGAACATAAATCAACCAGAAAGGACTGAAGTTTTTTGCGATTAAGCTGATGAAAGCCAACGAGCAGAAGAAATAAAGCATATAGAGGCAAGTTGGACAGGTATAGGTTTTACAGAGGGGGGAATCCAGAGGGAAGGTCTTTCCTATCCGAAGCAATTATTGTGATTCAGAATTGGAAGAGCTTTCTCTCCCCACCATAATTCTCCTGTGATAGGAAGCTATTTCCCAATCAAATATGAGGAGCACAAAAGAAAACAGTCACAATCTTTAATGAAGAAAACCACAAGAAAGATTCGACAGGAAAAGAACAATCGAGCAGCCATAAATATTCATTAGGAGGGGTTTAAGTATCTCATAAAGGTTATGGTGTTCCCACTGAAAATAGACGATCCTGTCACTTTTTATGCAAGAGAAGAATAAGTCAGGGAAATGACACAGAATTCGTGTTGCTTTCTCACCTCCAGACTCCCCCCACCATCATTTCCAGATCTGATAAGTTAATTTAGCAAGTGCTTTACTTTAAAGCTGTGACCGGCCTCTCTGAACACCAGCGCTTCATGAATCAGTCGGGCGTTTCGTCTGACAGTCAGCAGTACATGACAAAGCTGCACAAACCAAACCAAACCAAACGTGGGCTTGGGCACCAGGGCTTTAGCATAACAAAAGGCAGAGCTTATCTCCTGCCAGCTGAATATGCTTCCCAGGAGGACCCGACCCAACCTCCATGGGCAATTTCTTCTGTACGGCTCAGAGAATCAAGAAAACAGCTTCAACTGGAAGGGATAAGGACTCCTGTAGATTTATAGGGGAGTTGCTGTAACCTAATAACAGCTGCGATATTTTTTTCCCTTTCCCAATCTTTTGCTTTAACCAGGCAGTGTGATGCCATCCCGTTCAGGGGCCTGGATTCCCATACATCCCACATTAATTTCCACTGTGCAATTCTGTGGGAGGAAGACATCAACATGAAAAACATCAAAACAATCCTTTGCTTTGTTGCAAGCCTCAGCTTTACAGGCGCTAATCACCGCACGGAGATATGATATGTGCATACGTCAGGAACTGAGCGAACCTGGAGAGCATGTGATGTTGTGTACTCTCATTAAGACTTCAAAGGTGCTGAAGAAATTTGGTGCCCAAAGGGTGGGACTAATTTCACCTAACTTTAACCATCCAGAAGTGGGGCGCCTGGTCTACTTGTCTGGTTGTCTAGACTGCCTCTGGTAGTCAATAAGAAGAGAGGTAAGTATCTCCAGAGGTGGATTCCTCCCACCTGTCTTACCTGCCTATTTTAGGATGCGATGAATCACCGTCTGGAGATACCTATCTCTTTCCATTAGCCATAGACAGAGTCTCAAAGATGAAATTAGAATACGTGGCTAGTTTGATGGCTGAAGTAGGGAGGAAGGAGCACCCAGGCCCAGTGTTTGATGAATTTTATGAGAAACATCCTTTGAAAACCCCAGCCTTGACTTCTAACATGAAGCAGATGTAGGCTAATGAGAGGAAAAAATACATTACCAGGTTGAATTCCCTTGGACAACTTTGTCTTTAGGATACAAGGGAATGAGGTTGCACTAATCAAATAAATTCTTTAATATCTCATGAATGACACGGACAAGAATCTATACAGTCCATGAAACTGCGTGTATAGAAATATATGTTACGACCCAATCCTACATCTACCAAATGCTGTCGACACAGGTAGCTTATTGCCATAGTCCTATCTGAATGCAATCGGTTTTCTATGGCTGCGGATAATTACAGAGGCGGAGCATGGCTCTTTGAGGCTATCGCATAAAACATATTTTAAGAGCTAGTTCGGATTCATCTCCAGAGGCAACAAACAAATTAGTGAACTTCACATGTTCTTATAATGAATTCCATTTTCAGCAGCACATTCAGGGAGAAGAATGCTGACAAAGGGAAAGATTGCAACTTGTCAAAATGACTCATTCAACCCCTCATCAAAATATTTTCCTTTTTTGCTTCTTCCATCCTTCCCCCCTTTTTTTTTTTTTAGTCAAAAAGATGCAATTTTTGCTTCAGACTACTCTCCCATTTTCCATGTCCATACTCACAATAACAAATCGTTGATTCCTGAGATCTTAGGTACCAACAGGCGAAAGACTTGTCGTCCCTTGTAAAGACCTAAAAGACATTAAGTGAACTTTCTGCATAGCTGCCTTCTCACTGGGGTTCAGGAGCAACAACAGGGATTTAGCTAACACAGAAATTTTGCCCAATACTGGGCAACTTATGCCCAGAATCTCTTACCCGTCAGGAAGCCAGTGGCTCTGGTGAGGCGTTTTGGAACTGGGGCTGCTGCAGCACAAGTGGTTCACAGACGTTTAATTGCAGTCTATGCTACGTTCCAGGAGTCTCCCACACAGCCGACATGTATAATGGGGTGCAGAAAGGGAGTAGTGTCACACCAGTCTTCAGTCTGACTTCTGGTCCAGGATGCAGTTTTCCTATATAGAGCTTGTAACAATTGGCTTTTGTATTCTTCTTTGGATTCAAATATGCATTTAGCATCTGATAAATCTTTGTTTAGAACTTAAAGGGTCTGGGAAGTTACAAGCTTTAGCTTGAAGTCTCTAATATTTGTTTTAACTGATATTTTCAATTGTCCTGGCAATGCAGTATAAACTGTGAGCTTATAAACAAAGGTGTAATCTGAAAGTCATGCCATAAATATGTTGAATTATCCCATTTGTATAGGGCAAAAGTATCAGTTTACGCAACTAATTCATACCACCAGCCCCTCAAACTCACATAAGTTGCAATTACACATTCAATTAATAGCCTTGTGAATCTCAGTGCTGCAGTCACGTCCTATGGTTTCGATGTGCACGTCTTCTTTTTGAGAACTTGATATTAGAAGATTTAGTGTTTTAAGGAGGTTTAGCATTGTTTTTATGATTTGCACTGCCTGATCCTATCTCCTGGAAAATGTTTTCAGAGGGGGTTAATGAGGATGAGGGAACACAGCTGCCGGGTGTCTCCACGTGTATGTATAACATACGTTATACGTCACCATTGTATGTATAACACGCGGACTTCTGCAAGCGTTGCTCCCCTTCAGTTAGGAAGGGCTGAAGGCATTTAGTTGTTTGCACTATAATGTCTCTTTTTCTCCCAAACACTTTACTCTCAAAGAGCTGAAAGAGCCCTATTGTTTTGACTTTCTAAATGTCAGTGTGGAGAAGGCCCCGAGATGGTTGGCAGATAGGTTCACTGCCTAACCTCCTTGGGCTGGTGATTAGGAGAGAGATTCATCTTGCCAATGTGAGTCAAAGCCATCTCTGGTGTCCAGTCTAATCTACTTATTAAGACTTCCTCTGTTGATGGAGAAAGACCAGCGCCTGCGGAAAGTGAATCACCCCAGTTCCCCTGAGCATGGACCCAGGGGCTGTTGCCGCTCAGAGGAGTGTCTCCACTGAGTGTCAAGGACATGTCTGGCAAAGTCACCCAACTTTTAGCTGTTGTTTCTTGACTGAGGTGGATCTCATCAGGCTGAAATGTGCTACTGTTCCTTTTTTGTTCCCTGTAGAGACTACCAGGAGATGAATCAAAAAGGTCTCCGACATCCAGCTTGGCAGAAACTCCAGTATAAGCAAGGGCCAAAGATTTAACTGTGTCAAATGGACTTCAGGTTAAGTATTTGCAGCATTACGCAAGGGAAAATGTCACTGACTGCACAGAACATAAACCCTGCAAGAAAACTGAAATATGCCTCAGTTCCTGGGTGCAACCTGCTCTGTTCTGGTGCTGTTTCATGTGGTAAGAGAAGGTCAGTGTGAAATGCTGCATGGGAATGTTTTTGGGGGGCATTTTGAGTCTTTGCATATGAACCCAGACCTGTAACTCAGTGAATTTGCTGGTGTTTCAGCACAGAAATGATCCATGCATCACAACATGACTTCCATGTTTTTTTTTCCATGGCTGACATTTTTTTTTTGGTTACTTTTCTGCACTCAAAACAAGCCTGGTGAGAGAAAAAAGGAAAAAAAGGAGAGATTGTGAAATTACCCCCACAAAGCGCAAGTCTGCAAAACATGCCATCATACACAAAAACCCATGAGACACAAAACCCCAAACGACACACTGCAAACAAATCACAAAGAGTTTCTTCAAAAATGTTTGCTAAACTATAATTAGCGTAAGTTAGGGGAACACTTCAAACCATAATATATTCTAAGCCAACTTGCAAACAGAGCACTTTTAGATTCCTTTTTATTTCCTCAGTAGTTAGTATTTGCTGGGCTGTTTTGCATTTTGAGGAGCATTTATTGCTGCCAGGCAAACCAAACCCTTAAGCGCTTTAAATTAATGTCCTGATCCTATCAAGGCCAGCTTCCCAAATGTATATAAGGGGTAGCATCACTGTGTCACTGCAGCGGGATCTCTGTTCCTCTCCTGCAGAAGGGCTTCCCCTAAACTTTCATATTCCACCTTCAAATAAGCCACGATGAGCAGACAGGCACCAACTGTGAGATCCGTCCTGGGACGAAGAGGCTTCAGCTCAGCTTCGGAGATTTGTGGTCGAAGCTATGCCGCCTCTGCCTGCCAGCCTGTCCGATGTGGAGCTGGTGCCTACAGCAGCAGGAGCGTCTGCAACCTGGGTGGCAACAGGAGAATTTCCTACGTGAATGGGGTCTGCGGTACTGGATGTTTTGGAGAGTTTGGCTTCGGCGGCGTAGGCTACGGTAACGTTGGAGGAAGGGTTGGCCTTTGTGGCCCCAGGGGATACAGTATTGTGAGAGGTTACCCCGATCGCAAGGCTGATGGCATCCAAGGCATCTGCATTGATGAACGGCTTCTGAAACCCCTCTGTGTTGGGGTCGACCCGCTGGAACATGAAATACGCTGTCAGGAGAAGGAACAGATCAAGACCCTCAACACCCAATTTGCCTGCTTCATCGACAAGGTGAGTGCAAACCTGCTCCGCACCTGCACTTCGTTGAGAGAAATAGAACACAACCAACCTCCTCCAAAACCCCAGTCCAGCTCGTGCCATGAATCGCTGAGCTGGGTCCGTGCAAGGGTCCAGTCTCCCACAGAGCCACGTTGGTTCAGAGTCAGATCTTCAGTATTGGGGAAAGGCTCATTTCAGCCACATTCCAGTCCGAGTATTTGAGGGTGCTTGTATCGTGGCCACGGTAAGCACTGGACTTTCTTGCAGGTGTCCGCTCTCTGGACGTCCTCAGCTGGATTTCTCATTGCAGCCGCCTTCTAGCTCAGCTAGAAGTGACAGCCCTGATGGGCTCATCTTTCTGTTCTGTATTAAACCCTTTTCCCCCTTTGTCTTTAAATATAGCGACTGTTCCAAAAACGTTCCTGAAGGCAAAGGAGGTTAATCTTGATTCAGGCACCTAAACACTAGATATCTAAGTCTGAGCTGTCACCTTAGAATCCCTTTGTAGCAAAACCAGAGACAAACAGGTTCCACGCTCTGGGGACTCGATTTCATCCTGAAGCACATCAGAGGCACCATCCAGAGGAGCTTTATTTCTATTCATTGGTGTGAAAGGCAGATTTAGACGTGTGACTTTCAGATTTCCAAATAAGGGCAGATAATTTTCTGATCGTTGTGGCGTATCACCTCTCACTTCCCGAAAATCCTATTCTTACAGTTTCACAGTGAGAGCAGACAGTTAAACCAGGTGTTGAGTTATTGCACCCATCTCTTTATTTGAAGAATTGCTTTTTTTTGGCCTGCAGGTCCGATTCCTGGAGCAGCAGAACAAAGTGCTGGAGACCAAGTGGGGCCTCCTGCAGCAATACGTCCTACCAAAGAAAGGGAAAAACCTTGAACTGTACTTTGAGAATTACATCTGCGACCTGCGGAAGCGCCTGGATTGCTTGCTGTGTGAAAAGCAAAAACTGGGCAGCGAAGAGTGTGCCACAAGCCAGCTGGTGGAGGAGTTCAAGTGCAAGTAAGGACCTTCAGGTCTCCTCTAGTTGTTGGCATTTAACTTCTCTGGTTCATCTTAGGCAACTTCTCCTAGACATGTGGCACATCCCCCCTGGGGATGTCACATTCTTCTGTCTCACTTGCAAACCCTTTGCATTGTTAATGTTGTTCACGAAGAAGCTTCTGATCTTGGGATGGTCTAATGTTTGGTCTCCAGACACTGATCTTACGGTGCCTGATGGCAGTCTCTGAGCAAGCGAAGGCTGTTATTTATAACCGACGGTTAGTGTCTGTGTATCTGACAGCAGTGCTTGGCTCAGCCCTTTTCTTCTCCTTTTCCAACAGATACGAAGAGGAAATCAACAGGCGTACAACTGTGGAGAATGAGTTTGTGGCCCTCAAAAAGGTGAGAAGCTCAAAATACATGTATCATTATACCTGTAATAATAGGTTTATTTGGTGTAAATCTTGGCTCAAATAGTGCATTATTAGCAAACGACTGGCAAAAGTGTTATAATGAGCAGAAGGAGGGAGGCCTGTAAAGAGGAACAGAGTCAAAAAAGAGAGGTAAATGCAAGTAGAAAGTGAAAACATTGTGTCCTCGAAGCTTACAACACCAGCACTCCACCAATACTTCTGTTACTCCAAGCACATTCTTGAAGAGTAATGGGAGGGTGTATTTGTGGAAGGGGGACGGAGTGGGAGAGGTCACACTGGAATCCCAGTGTCTATGATGCTGGTTATTTTCTGACAGTCTCTTCACATCTTTTATACTTGGACATCAGAAAAGGAGAAATCATTTGAAAAATATTAAAAAAATATGTTTAAATACTCATTAGTCTATTCTAATAGGATAAATAAAGATAAATAAATAAGGAGTTTGTAGCTAGCTCCTAAGTAATAAATAAACTAATCCCTGTCAGCCACGTTGGAATAGTTTCGTTTTCCTTTAGGAGACACCAGGCATCTTGACTCACCCTCTCACACCTTTCTGTTCTTGAAATCTTGTTGAAACATGTTTCTGTTTTATTGGTGCCGTCTCTGACTTCTGTATGTTTCTCCAATGTTGTCAGTGAGACTGGGCTGGGACATGTCTCCTCTCTTTCAGGATGCAGACTGTATCTTTTTAAACAAGGAAGAGCTGGAGGTGAAGGTGGATCTGTTAAGAAGGCAGTTGGAGTTATTGAAATGTGTGTTTGAGGAGGTGAGTTTCTCTGGTCTGTCCCAGGAGTTTGTTGGCGCTGTCTCATCCTTCAGGTGCTCCGGATTTCTACAGCTTGAAACCTCTCTTGGACAGGTCTCATCCAAGCCTTGAGTACTTGAAAGCATGGAAGTACAAGGTTGATATAATATTAACATGATTATGCTGGAAATAGGGTGGTTCCCCTTTCTTAATGCAGCTCCAGGTATGAATTGGCTGTGTCTTAACACTACCCCTGAGAAAAGAGATGCGTCTGTCTAGTTACTCCGGATTGCAGTTGTCTGATTAGCGCTAAAGAAACTCCCAGCTTAATCCTGTCATTAACATCAGTAAAGCAGCTGAAGATGACAGGATACCAAGGGTTAAGTCACTCAAATTCCTTGCCCTTGATGTGGACAGAATTGCTGCAGGTCAGCATGTAGGTCAGCAGCTGACATGTGGCAACTCATCCAGCAGGGAGGATTGTCTGCTGAGCCAACCTGAGGCACCTTTCTTGACTTGTTATATCCATCAGCTGAGCACTGTGGCTCTTAGTCCCAGCCCTTCCTTCACTACAAAGTCTGAGAATTGCTAACGGCTGACTAAGCCATTCCCCAACCTGTAGGAACGAGCTCAGGTAGATCGCCAGCTATGCGACACTTCGGTCATCGTGAAAATGGACAACAACCGAGACCTGGATATGGAAAGCATCATCAAGAATGTTGAATGCTGGTACCAAGAAATAGCTCAGAAAAGCAAAGAAGAAGTTGATGCCTTCTACCAAACCAGGGTGAGTAAGAAGCAACCTGGGTGTCTGCCTGGCAACTTAACAGTTGCAGGTCAAAAACGATGATTGTCTTGTTTCTTGGTTCCAGTTTCAGGAGCTTCAGGATAAGAGAGGCAAGTATTGTGACGATCTGCAAAGCAACAAGTGTGAGATTTCAGAGCTAACCCGGATGATACAGAAGCTGCAGTGTGAACTGGAGAACGTGAAGAAGCAGGTAGGAGAGGCCCAGAGGTGATGTTTCCAGAAAGGGCAATGTCTTGGAGGACAGCTCAGATATGGGGGAAGGTGGCGCATTGGCCTTTAGTAGACTTAAGACCTGCTCTAGGCTGTAGTTGGAAAGTCTATAATTGAAAAGTGGATAGAGAAAAGGGACACTGGTGGTTTTTTCCTCTGTTTGCAACTGGAAGAGGAAATGAATCCAAAACGAGAATGTCCAGGAATTAGGAAATGAAGCCTTGAAGACACCTGCACTGTTATCCTCCCCTCTGACAGGTCTCCTGCCTGCAAACCTCCATTTGTGATGTTGAGCAGCGTGGGGATTGTGCCCTGAAAGATGCCCGGGAGAAGCATGTTGAGCTGCAGAATGCCCTCCAGAAGGCCAAGGATGAGCTGGCTTGCATGTTGCGGGATTACCAGGAGCTGCTGAATGTCAAACTGGCCCTGGATATTGAGATTGCAACATACAAGACTCTCCTGGAGGGTGAGGAGAGCAGGTGGGTGACAGAGACCTTGTCCCTTTTCTCCTGTACATCAGAGGCTTGAATGATTCCAGCTCCCAAGTGAATTCTGCAGCTCCAGGATCCTCCCAGGCTCACAGAAACTGGGGCTGGAGAGATGGCTGGAGGCCGTACAGGCCTCCCTTGTGCCAACAAAAACAGTTGCTGTCCTAGGGATAGTCAGACATGTTACAACAAGGGATTAAGTGGGCTGGATATATGGCTGGAAGTGATGAGTAACGTCAGGTTTCTAGATGTGTATGCAACTGGTTAATAGGATAACATGCATTTCTCCTCTCTCCCCTAACAGGATATGTGTGGGGAACCCGGTGAGCGTGTGTAAGTAACCTGAAGATTTTCAGCCATGAGGGTTTCTCATGTTAGGAAAGGCAGTTTATGGAGTAGCATTATCTGTCCGCCCCAGCTCTCTCTGCCTCTGCCTCCCTTTTCCCTCTCAGCCTGGGCTGATGTTAAAGGTTTAGTCCCAGAAATCTCAAATTCCTCTGAATTTCAAACGAATCAGCTTTTGGATAGAGGGGGGAAGGTCAACTCATGACCCTTTTCTACTCTTGGATTCAATAGCGAGCTGTCCTGGCGAACCCACCAGGCAATGCGCTGATGTGCAGTGAACTGGGGAAAGAATATGCCACCAGCCAGATGAGCAACATGGGAACTGGGAGGATCTGTGAGGGGATGTGTTGGGACGTGGGGGAGGAGTTGGAAGGAGCAGGGGTTCAGATATGTTGAACGAATCTAGAGGAAATCAGGTTTGGTCGGTTCTGTCACTCATGAAACAACTTGCCTGCGAGAGTCTTCCAGCTTTCCTCTCTAAATAATTACTCCCGTGGGTTGTCTTGCAGCTGTGGTCAGCAGTGGCTACAACATCCCCGATGACTGCGGGATGCTGGCTGCAAACGGGGCTGCATGTGGCTATGGCTCCCTGGGGAGACGGTCCGGACGACACAGCTCCCAGAATGGAGGATTCAGCTCCCGGAGCGCTGGGATCCACCCCAAGAGAGTCATTAGTTCGGTGGCCAAGCAGTGTGTCCCAGAGGTGTATTGCCAAGCCGGAGGGGTCAACTGCAAAAACGGGGGATTCAGTTCCCGTAGTGGGGGGTACCCAGCCCGCACTGTCATCAGCACGGGAAACGGGGGCTTGAATGCTAGGATGGGGGCTTGCCAAGCTGGTGGGGTGGTCAGCTTTGGAAACCAAGGCTGCGTCATCAGGCAGCTGGGGGGCTCCCCCGTCGTTGTTGCAAACAGCCCTGAAGTTGTGGGGTGCAACAACGGCATGGTGGGGAACTATGGGGTTGTCAGAGACCCATGCGTTGTTCCATAGGGCCATCAGCTGGGGAGGTGGCACAGCCAGCAACGTCGGAGGGCAATGCTTAGACGTGCAGTTCCTACCACTGAGATGATGCAGGATAGTTTCTCTGCCCACCAGTAGCAACATTTGTCACCAAGCCCATTCCCACATTTATTAGCATCAGATACGTCCCCCACCAAGTTATGTTTTCAGAGTCCCCAATCCTAAAGACACATCTCGCAAGCTTCTCCAGCAGGTGCTCGACACAGTATTATTTCTGAGTTTATATTGCCTGGATTACCACAGCTTTAAGGGTTTGCTTGTTGCGCTGCCTTCTCTCTCTGGCTTTTCCCATAATGAGCAGATTCATTAACAATGTTCTTCTTTACAAGACACCTCTTTTTCTTCCAGCTCCTCCCAAAGCATTTCAGAAAAGAGAGTGATGATTTAGCTTTCCCAGGAGGCACTGCAAAGAGCACGCTGCTTTTTTTTTTTTTTTTTTGTGTCAAAGAAGAAACCCTGAGCTGCAAATTTGAGCTTAAATTTTAAACAAGGCAATTTCAACTTTCAAAGCACCTGCTAGTTACGCTGCAGCCATAGGCTTTTTGTGGAATTTGCTTACAGATTAATACGTAGTACTTCCATTTGCTTCTGCATGTTAGGGGTGGCTAGTTCAAAGCGTGATGATTTTTAGAAGAGCTCACCCCCCCATCCCTACCCCCAAAATGCCAAGGGAAGCTGTTGGTGCATGCATCTTCTGAGTTGACACCTTGTGCTCACATAAACAGCTTCTTTCATTGATTGCTCAAACTTCCCAGCTTTTCACTGCGCCTTCAATAAACTGCATTGAAAGTACATGGATGTCTCTGAATTTTTTTGTAGACGGTATTTAAAGAAGTTACAAAATGGGTGAAGAAGTGCTCTTTCACAGTCCATGGGGGGAAGAAAGGACCAAACAGATCTTTTGATTCTCTTTAGGCAGTTTGAAGCATGGTGGGACTCAGATGCCTGGAGAGTCCAATGATGTTTATTCTGGTTTATTTACCTCCTTATATCACATCACCTATAAGACCTGTTTTATAGCCCAGGTAGCAACTGATGTCAAAGATTGCCAGAAATCCTGAAAATAGTTCTGAGCACTGTAAGCTGTCCTCTACGACAAGTTTGCCAGCCTGCAGCTTCATTCATTGCTGCAGCCTCAGAACAACTCATTTGTTTGATCCTTCCATGTCACAGCAATTACATGAAGATAGATGCCAACACTGACCTTCTGAGCTAAATGGGTTTGTGATCATGGTTGTGCTCTGCCAGACTCATATGTATTTTGGACAGAAAAACCTTTGCTTCAGTGGCATTAGGGCTGAAAAAGTGTGACATTTACCCTGTATGACTTAAAAGGCAAAGGGATAAATTATGAGATCTTCTGGCCGTAATGGGGTGGCATCAACTTTATCTTAGTTTTGAAGTCTCCCACGTTGAGGTCAACAGCTGGTTGCTGGGGGCTCATTTCATGGAAAGAAACCAACATTTCCATGGGGTGATTCATCTGACTAAACACAGGTGCCTAATTTAGCATGAAATGCATCAAGCTCTAGTCTCTAGTGACTGCATCAATTAGATCTCTCCTGGCGCTGCAGGCAGTCCGGGGCAGGGGTATTAGCGCAAATGGAAGCATCACCATGCGAGACGCCTGCATGTACTCAGACAAATACACCCTGCCTGTCATCCACTGAATTTGCAGACACTATTATCACAGTGAATTTCTCCCTGTCTCCAGCACATGAAGAATTACAGGTCACACGGCACCACTAATCTCCCCACTCTCACAGGGCAAAATTCTAATTGCAACCTAAAAAAAGTGAATATTAAAGACTGATGCAAGGAAGAAGATAAGCACCATTGGGAAAGGGCATGAGATGTCATTTCTACACCGAGAGTAGAAACTGTCTCATCTTTGACCACCGGCGTGTCAGACTCTGGTTAGGTGAGGTGGACAGCCCTCCACCTGAGCCTCTCTCTCAAATGAGGAAACCCAGTTCAGCAATTTACTCAACTGGTTACAATTAGATGAGCTGGAGCCCATCTAGGTGGGTAATTTTGCATACGAGCTTAGTGCATTCACCACTTGCAAATGTAATTTGGGAAGAAGGCAAGCCCAATGCCTAGAGTCCCTGCTGAGCCATTAGGCAGCTCCAGTTAATTGCCCGAACGTCACTGATTCCCTGTGCACTTTCAAGACGCCACTCTGGGCTGCAGCGTGCACAGGATGGCTGCCCAGGAACCACTGTGCCTCCCAGTTTGGGTCTTCCTTGTGGCTGTGAGGAGACATGGCCATCCCTTTGCAATCCATAGCCAGAATGACTTGGCTTGGCTTTGTTTCAGCGGCCACTTTTCATTGGGTTTTGCTGTTACTAAAAAATACAGTTGTTTGAGAAAGAGGAGGTGGAGAAAGCCACAGCTTTGGGACCTGGGGTTAGTCCTCACCAGCTGCTGCTGGTTGCCTCGACCAGTTCGTCTTGCCCTTGCTTGATCTCCCTCCATGGCTCGGCGAAAGAGGAACTGGCTTTGCATGACGTTCCCAGCCTGGAAGGGGTGAAAGCCCAGCAAGCCCCGGGTTTTCCAGAGCTTTCCCCTCCTGACCATCAAAGTCAGGACACCAAGGTGTCCCCAGATAAGAGAAGACACAAGCCTGGGCTGTCGGTTGCAGTGCATCGTTCTCTTGCTTCAGGGGTGAACTGCAGACAGGAGTCTAAAATAGCTTCCTAATGTTAGCAAGGGTAACTTCTCCCGTCCCAAGCAAGGAAGCAGTAGGCGACTGCCTAATTTCAGTGGGAGAATAATTATCTTTTAGTGGACCGAATAATAGAGAGAAGAAAGGAAGATAATACTACCTCTTCCAAAACAAGGGCAGCTCCTTTCCTCCTCATGTTTGAGCCAACACCCAAATATTCTTAGCTATAATTTTAGCAAACCAAAGGGGAAAATGAAGGCTGCATTTATTTTTTCTCAATGGCTACAGCTGAATGGGCTAGCTCTCACAGTGGCAAAAGGAAAAGGTTAATCTCAAACTATTAATTACAGCTTGTATTACAAGTTCAGGAACATTTCCTGGTAAGTGATTGCTATTTTTCCTTCCCACATTTTACTTTTTTAAATCTTGAGGATTATTTTGACTATTTTTTTGCCTTCCTTTCTAATAGCAATTATCTTAAACAGACAGTTGTTTTAAGATGGGGAACTGGATTTTCTGTCAGTTAAAAATAACCAGAGAAAACCTTTTAGTAATTGCAAAATGCTTTCATTCAGTTCTTTTAGTAAAAAAATATTAATAATTTTAAAATTCCAGTAATTTTATTCTATTAAACGTTTTGGGTTTGATGTTTTGGCTGACCAATGCAAGCACTCCAAGCCAATGCCATGGAGATGAAGGTGGGAAGAAACAAAGCCACCTAGACTAAGCGCATGGTCCAGGTCTCCTCCATCATCTGTGGGGACAGATAGGAACTCGGAGGGTGCCCCCCCAAAAAAACAAGCGTGTCCTGGGTGTGTTTCAAAAAGAGCAATATGAAGGCAGGGTGACTCTATTCCTGACTTGGGCAACCTCCTGCAAATATGTCCCCACCCCGTATAACCAGCATTTTCCACTTCAGCCATCCTGTCCAGGATGGAAAGCTTCTGCCATAAATTCATCTTCAAAAAAGACAGCCTTTCGCACTGACCCACTCACCCTGAAAGTTTATAGACTCTTAGGAAGGGTGACTCACCTGCTCCTAAAGCATCTCTCTGCACTAAATACACCAAGACTGTGGGAAGAGGAGGAAGAGGTGGGACTCTTACAGGAACAGAGCGCAAGTAATCTCCAAGAAAGTAATCTCCACAGCGTGTCCCTGCAGTGCAAGGCAGAAGAGACGGCACAACCACAGCAATCAACTCAAAGAACACACTTTGCAGTAAATATTTGAACTGGTCATTAACCCGAGTGGAATACCTTAAACAAGGAAATGTTCTCTGAGCCAAGATTGTCACTTAAGCTTTTTCACTTGCGCGTTATTCTCTCTGTAGAGAGAGACAGCTACTATAATGTTTTTCATGTCAAAACCAGATACCAATCACCAGTAGCCAAACAAAACCATGCAGGCTCAAAGACATTTATCTCATCCAACCATGCCAAACGTAAGGGATATTTTCAAAGTCTGCCACTAGACGGTCTCTTTCC